TACTATATGACCAATGATTAATTCAGTTCACTGGTGCTAAAACCTCGAACACAATTCCAATTGAAGTTAAACTTGCCCGCAAATTTAATTCGACTTGCAAAATATATTTTGTCAATCAGTTGTGTTCTTGACCACAGTGAAGATCACGTTCATAATTTTATGTGCAAAGCTCCTTAAAGCAGCACCCGCTCGTTCGTCGTCGTAGTGCGTAGCCAGTCGTACGCTTTGACCTGCAAGGTGGTGCTGCTAGGAGATTTCTTCTGTGCGTTGTTGAACAGTAAAAAATTCGCAGCGAGCACATTAGCTAAAAGCCCAATTCTCCTGTCTCTCATTCCCAATTAGCAGCCATTGGCATGTACATTGAGCACTATCTGACAAGAAAGGGTTGCTAGGTTATACTCGCTGGGCGTAACCTCCTTGGTTTTCAAAAGGTTTAGCGAGCGTTGGGCCGCAGTGCCATGAATACAGTGAACTAGTATATACCATGAACTCGAAGTGGTTAAAGGTGGGAAGTAGACACGAAGCGCAAGCCGTAAGAAAGTGTGCTTGTTCCACCTGTCATTTAGTCCTTGGAATGTCCGCTGGATGGCGGTGCATCCATATGCAGAATGCGAGATGGTGGTACTTGGAGTGTTGACTGGATGGACGAATGGACACACAGACAGATGCATGGACGGATGCACAGATGGCTGCACGGACGGATGGGCGCATGGACGGACGCACGGATGAACCTGTGGATGCACGAACAGATGCATGCATGGGCGGGCAAATGGACGCACGGACGGTCACGCAGACGGACGCATATATGATGAAAAGATGTGAGATGGTGGTACTTGGAGTGTTGACTAGATGGACAAGCGGACACACAGACAGATGCATGGACGGACGCGCGGACGGACGCAGGGGTGGATGCATGGACGAATGCAGGGACGGACACACAGATGGACATGCAGACGCACGAACAGATGCACGCACGGACGGGCGGATGGACGCACGGATGGTCACACAGATGGACGCATGGACGGACGGAAGCAAGAACGAATGGACAAACAGATGCTTCGCCCCATTCTCCATTATTCACCCCGTGGATATGTTGCTATTTTTTTTTAATGTCTCAGGTACATATCTCTCTCTTGTTTTTTCTTCTTTGTTCTGATGCAAGTTTAACTGTAATTATCCTTCAACGCAGCGTTATGCGAAAATTCCGCCTATTCCTTACGGATGCACCGTCTTTCATACTTTCTACACAATATATGCCATTAGTCCTTCTTTATTGCTCGTGTACTTAGGACTTAGCAGCAATTTCATATTTATTGTCATGTGCATTGCATTATATATACCTTTGAAGCTACTCAATCATTGAACTTGTATAAAGATTCATAATCATATCATGTGCTCCTCTGCTAATGACATGTAAAAAATATTCATGTATTAGAATGCACCAGTAACTAGCCACACAGTCTAATGGTCCAAATACTTTGTAACCACTTTTGCATTAAGTTCATTGAATAAACACTGATTTATCTCTGTAAAAAAAATGTTGTCGACCCCTGCCCCGACAGTTGCCACATGCGGCGCACAGCAGACAAAGCAGATGATTGAAGCAACACGTGAATGAGGATATGTCACGAAAACTTGTGCATGCACATACTACCACCTGGTGGTGCTGCTCATACCATGTGATGACATCCCAATACAGTAAAAACTAAAACTAGTTTTTAAAAACATGCTGTAATTAATATTTCAAGGAGCCTGACACTTACCAGTACATTTCCAATGTTCTATGGAGCTTGGCCTATCATTTGATGCAAAAAAAATAATAGGTGCAAAATTCGCGTCGATACCCCTTTAAGGTAGTGTAACAAAGAAATGAGCCCACGTGAATTCCCTCCCTCATGCAGTAGAGATAGTAGTGCTAGTAGAACTAGTAGTAATAGTAGCAGTAGTAGGCATCATGCTGTGATTGCATAACCAGAGAGGGGAGTGAATAAAGAAACAAGCAAAAGCAAATGATAATGATGATGATGCTTTTCTTCAAGTATATAAATGATGAGGTCAATGGTTATTTACAGCTTTGCGAATGGCAAAATTTTGGGTGCAAAGCGAATTGGAATACTGAATGTGCGTGTGAATCGAAGCAAACATGTTTCAAATACTTTGAAGTGGAATTGCAGAAAAAAAATTGCGAAGAATTCCTAAGCACACATTTTTGAGATAACTGCATAAATTGTTTCTTTTGACTAGGTTGATAAAGTGCTGGCAGGGTGGTGTTTTGTAAATGTCTTATCAAGAATGAGGCAATGCAGTGGCCGAATTGTATTTATGAGCCTGATTTGGTCTGACAAGTGTTGCTGACAATACTTCACACATGAAAGGTAAAGACAGTGTTTCCTCAACCTCTCCTCCTATTTCAACTTTGTGTTCCAAATCTGCATCATAGATATCAATGCATAAGAACATCTGAAATTTTGGAGCTTTGGCATCCAATTTTCCAGACTTACTGCCCGAATTTCAGGTCCAAAACCGCATCAATTGAGCCCCCGCCTTCGCCACTTCTTTCATCTCCATGTTGGAACTTGCATTTTTTTGAGTCAATACATTTGCGACCGTAGCAGAGCCTGAAAGGCAGCTTTGCCGTAATATGAGAGTAATGAAGTGGAGCATACTTAAAATTCGAAGGGACCACTTCTAATCAGGGGTTGAGTGGATTTTCTTTGGTAAATTTGAATACAGTGGGCTCCCAATATACGAAACTCTCTTAAACGAAAATGTCTCATTAAAGGAACTAAATGGGCTCATATGGATGGATTTCTATGTGTTACGCAGTAAAATTCATCGGTTAATTGAAATAATGCATATTGGTCACCTACGGTGAAACGGCACAAACTCTAAATACAGCATAGATTCGCTCAGGCCAAAGGTAGTCTCACAACCATGACAACAGCTCGAGACAAGCAAATTCAGTAGCCATTCTCGCTTGTGGTGGCTGTGGGAGCAGAGTCGGTGAGTCAGTTGTGTGTTAGGCCTATTTGTGCGGCTAAGTGAGGTAGATTACGGTGTTATTTCAGCCTGATGGAAAGGAAGCGGCCGCACCATGCATTCTTGCTTGAAAAAAGGCTGCGAATTCTTTAGGAGCTCGATCGAAGTGGCCTGCCCAAGATGGAGGTGGCGAAAAAAATACAAGATCCCGAAATGCCTTATGAACAACTCGAAAAAGTTATTTTTCTGTGGTTCAAGCGTGCACGGAGTCTCAATTTGCCCATTTCTCAAGCATAAAGCTCGAGATATCGCCATGCAAATGGGTGTTAAGAACTTTGTCCTAAACGACGGATGGCTCAGCCACTTCAAAACACACCAAGGCCTAGTCTTCAAAGCAATCTCAGGTGAGAGTGCTGCAGTCAACAGGGACATTTGCATGAACTGGCAACAGGCGCAGCTTAAAAAAATTTTGTTGAGCTTTAAATCACGAGACCTCTTCAGTGTGGACATGATTGGTTTTTTTTGTAAGGCGCTTCCATCAAAGACTCTCACCTTCAAAGGCGAAGCCTGTAGTAGAGGAAAATGCAGTGAAGATCGCATCACTGTGCTAGTGGGGGCAAACATGGCAGGAGATGAGAAATTGATGCTGTAGAGAAAAATCAAGGCACCCACGTTGTTTCAAAGGCGTTCGACACCTTCCCGTTGCGTACCATGCGAACGAAAGAGGGTGTATGACCATGGCTATTTTCGAAAACTGGCTACGGGAGGAAGACGCAAGATTTACGAGGCAAGGTATGAAGGTTGTCTTCATCGTGAATAATTGCCCAACCCACAATCAGGTTGAAAGACTCCAAGCCATCACTCTGGAGCTCTTGCCAGCCAATGCAACAGCAGTGATCCAGCCACCGGATCAAGGGGTTATTCAGAACATTAAAATTCATTACCGCAGACAATTTTGCTCCATCGAATGCTGCTTTGTGCAGACAGCGGGAAATGCTACAGCATAGATTTATTGGCAGCCATCCACATTTTGGCTTGTGCCTGGAAGCAAGTGAAGGCAACAACAATACACAGATGCTTTCACCATGCTTTCACCACCGCAAGAAAGCAGTACCTGATGAAGAAGAAAGCCCTGCTGATGCCGACATTGAGGCACTATTCAGTGAGGTCGTAACCTCTGCCCCTTTCACGCTGCAGGACTACGAATCAATTGATGAAAATGTTCGTACCTGTCGTCAAGATACTGTTGAGAAAATGATTGCCGATGTGCAAGATGAGGATCAACCTTCCAGCGATGAATGTGATGACAATATCGCTAGTGCAGTGAGCCACCAGACCGATCAGCTAAAGAGACTGTTGAACTTTTGCAGCGCTATTCTGAGCATGAAGCTTGTCCAGAATTTCTGGCTAGTTTGTCAGGCATAGGTGTGTACTTTATGAAAAACAACTCAAGCTTGCCAAACAAACCACCCTTCACTCCTTCTTTTCTCCTACTCATCCTCATGAGTAAGGTAAGGTTTGTGCAATTTGAATAAAGGTTTTGATTCACTAAATAAGTGTATTTTGCTTAAATGAAACTTCTGATAAATGGAACAGTTTTATGGATTTCCTTCGAGTTTCGTTTAAGAGGAGTCGACTGTAGTAAAGTTCCAGCATGAATAGAATAGCAAACACTATGAGAAAAATATAAAATTCTGAATATTCACACATCCCTAATTACAAGCATTAACAGGCTTACAGGGTAAGAACAAGAAAGATGCAGATAGCAACTAGTACTCCAAATGATGATGAGTCACATTTGTAACGACTCTGACAGTTTTCATAGTGTGGAACTGGCTGAATTTTTTTTCTCTCCCTTATTTCCCCTTTCATTGTGTGACAAAGCTGTGATGGGCGTGACAGCAGCAGATAACTACAGCACCTAAATCAGCTGCTGTTGTGAGCTCATAGCAGTTTACTGTAAAGAAACTCCAGGCAAACATCACAGCCAGAATCAAAGAAGTGAACACAGTGGCACATACCTGAGAAAAGCAAAAGCGGGGGCAGTGCGGGCAAGGCAATCGATTCCGACGAGCACGAACTTCTCCCAGCAGCTGAAGCCCGCTTCCAGCTTGTTTCGGAGACACGATGACTTGCACACTTGAAGGATCATCCATCGTGACATCAACGGTATTGGTCGTCGCCTCGACACAGCTTTTTGTGCAATCCTGAAGACTTTCGGCAATGACGTTGGAAATCGTTGTGTCAATAGCAACAGTTTGAGGGTCCAGCGCCACAATGGGTTCAAAAAATGCGGCCGGAAGCACGTCAAGTCGTCGCACCGGTTCAGGCCCAGAGGTTGGGCTGCATGCGTTCCTTTGCACGTGCCTGTTACATAGATCCTTTTGTCATGGGGGTGAGAGGAGACAGAAAATTTGAAGATGAATACTTGATGCAAGCACGGACACAAAGTTGCGAACCATCCATTACATAAGTACTAATATGTTGCCACTGTCGCATTGCACAAAAGCAGATGTCATAAAGATGTGCAAAATAAAACAGAACAATCTCTAGTACTTTACTACATAAAATCACAATCTGGTTATGAACTCAGAGCAATAAATTCCACAGGAAGGAGTTAAATAATGAGCAGTAGTATAAGTATGGCGAAACCGACATTGTGACAAATCCACAAGGAAAGTACTTCACGTTATCAGAGTAGCGATGCTGTCAGTTGTTGCCCTGATGATAACAGGTTCAAAGTGTTGGCTATGGCAACATCCACAGTTCGAAAAACTTCTCATCTGATAATAAGGCATGCCACAATGGGGAAATTATGATTAATTTTGATTGCCCATGATCCCTTGAAAAATGTTCATGTCTAAGTAGTACATCAGCGTTTTCCCATTTCACCTCCATCAAAATGCTGCAGCCACAGCCAAGATTGAAACAATTATCTAAAGCTCTGTACTTACCGAAAACACTTGGTTACTGCACCAGGTGAAAACTCATAAAGTAGAGCCACATTATCTTTTGATAGCTAAGGTCAGACTAATGCGAGACATGGTGGCTGATGTCAAAAAGCACTCATACAAAAAGAAGCTGAAGCCGTAGTAGCATCCTAAATGACTGGCTAGAATGCCCTCTAGCACAATCTGCAATGCATTAACGGATGTCAGCATTTTGACGTATACATGTACAGTAGAACTACAGCAAAACCCACCAGTAAAACTATACAGCCTGTCATCAGTTCACAAGGCTATGAGGAGGACTACAGCTCTTGGGAAATTTACATGAAGATTAGTCACGTGAAAACTTGGGCGAGTTGGTGAGTTTGTTTATCTTTCTTTTTGTCCTTGTCTCGGTATTATCTCTGTGGTTCATTACATGTGAAGATTTTCTAATATTATTTACTTCCATTTTTTTTTCTTCTCTTTTCTTTCTTCGATGTAAAGTAATTGGCAAGCTTCCCTTTCCTTATTATTATTTAATGTGCTTTTCTCACAAATTTCAACATATTTTCGTACTGTTTCATTCCATTCATAATGTAATAGTGCAATATACCAGGTATCCCTGCTATCTTGAGCAAAGGATTAAAGAATACAACATTAAAGGCAGGCAAGTGAAATCAGTTGCATATTGCTGATAACCACCTTGGGCACTACACACAATTTTATGTTTTTTAATCAATTTGTTAATCAGAATGATTCAACTAAGTCGCTTAATATTCACCTTAGGCAAGCAACAGGAGTTGCAAAATTCGAGAGCGTCTTCAGAAACCTCCATTGCATTATTTGTTGTAAAGGAAGTTTCAGCTAAATCATTTTTTTTTTTTTCCAAGCTGCGAAGAAAGCCTACAAAATACAAAGAAGACCAAATGACTAGCGCATTCCCGCGTCAGCCGTGGTTTAAGCGAATGAAGTCAGCTGCAGCGGCAACGTATTTGTTGCAGAGGTAGATTGTTAAGTTCGTGGTGGTTTCTCAACCCGTTTCCAGCCAGTTGGCACACGTGACGGTGCAACTTGTAGTCAACGCTGGCCGTAGTACACAAGGAGGCTGTCAGCAATATGTAACTTATTTCACTTGCTGCTTTTAATGCAGTCAAATTTTGCTGCAACGACATTGACTGGACATGCAAAAAAATTTAAGTGTACTAAATTGGAATTGCAACAAAATTGACTGAATACGCGGACACTTTTTTAGAGCTAAAGCTTCTGTGAGATCTCAAGGAGGGTCGTCTTTGGTGCCTAAGCTGTCCACCACCGCCGCCGGTGTCCGTAGCCACTATCCCTCGAAATTGAAAATATGGCATATCCAAGAAGTGAAAGATGATGAGCGAGCGAAGCAGTGGGATTGTTCAGCGTTACCGTAAATCACCCCTGACATTGACCACTCAGGCACATACTAAATGAGTGCCAAGCGATGTGCAGTTATATACAGTGTTTATAAGTCATAACTGGTAGGTTTTGTTGAGCTGCAGATTTCGTTTTGCCTTCATTATCGCTGCTTTGTAGTATCGTATCTAGCCAGAGGTGGCAAATACGAGGTCTGGTAACATTCCCCTGCTGGTTGTTGGGTGTTTCCGGTCATACAAAATGCATCATACAGCATATTCAGACGTCATCTATTGCACAAGCCAGCTGTTGTTTGAGATCATCAATGTCATCATCTTCATCATCGCTATCGTTATGGCATATAATGGGTACCTTGCATGTGCTGTGTCGTGACAGCAGAAAGAGAATGTGTGATCTAGAACACGCTTGTTCTGCATCGTCATCGGCAGCGACAGTGCACAATGCCGGCGCGCAATACCAACGAACAAGGCTCGATCTTATGTAGCTTCGCTCCTAAAAAACTAAGTAAATAAAAAAACACCCAGGACATAATGGGACCCGAACCCATGTCCCCTGTATGCCAGCCCAGTATTCTACCACTGAGCCACGCTGGTGCTTGAAACTCCGTTGCAAACTGACCGAGGCAGGCTTCACATTGCCTGGTAAATGAAGCAGTTACCAGTGCTGTTTACCCGTAATTAAGAAGCATGTCTTATCTGCACAAACATATAATTCTTTGGGCTTTATACTCAAGACCATAATATGATTGCAAGGGGCGTTGTAGCGAAGGGCTCTGGAAATTTCAACCCTCTGTGTGTTCTTAAATGTGCACCTAAATCTAAGTACACAGGACTCAATACTCCGTTTCATACATGAGGTGCAACGCTGTGGAAGCTATGCAAAAAAGTTCGGCCAGAAAACGTATAACTTCGCACGCTCCTTGATCGCTCACGTGACAGCCGATTAGTGCCGGTGCACCCTCGTGTTTCTTTGTGCACCCCTTTGGCGCGTCTGGCAAACAGAAGAAAGAAGGGCTAGCACAAAAAAGAGCGGGTACCGAACGACGCTGTGGTGTCCTATCCTGCACTGAAACTGAAAGTCCAGGTGGCCGCGATCGTGACGTACCCACAGTAGAGAACCTGTACGTGACCTCACGGGGATATAACTAAGATATACAGCTACATAATAACAGACGTACCACGGCGTTTTGTTTGTAAGGAGCATAATATCTTTAATTACTTTTCACTCCAATAACAAAAGACAAATTGAATTTTCGGTGGTAAGGGCATCGAACTACTTTTTGTTGCAAATGCATCGACTGCAAGAAGTCTCGCTAGCTTCCACAGCGTTGCACCTGATGTATGAAACTCCACCTGAATGCTTCCATGGCAGCCGGGATTCGATCCTGCGACCTTTGGGTCAGCAGTCAAGCAGCGTAGCCACTAGATCACCATGGCAGGCCACAAACAAACATGCAACTTGTCAGTACAGATAGCATCATCACCTTTGAGGAGAAAACCTTCCTGCAGACACTGCAGTGAAAGCCATCTTGAGCATGAAGGCAGAGGTGCTTGAGAAGAGTGGATTCGTTTTTGAAGGCTCGGCGACACACTATGCAGGACTGCCCAAATCCACTATGATTAGCTTCAACGTGTGGTGCGTGATCTCTGCACAAATGAACCATGAAACAAAAATTGGTTCTAGCCTTTTAGGCAACATGACATCACACCTTCCAAAAGTAACAAAAGAGGCACAAGCTAGCTTAAACTATTGCTATCAGTTTTAAGTACCACTAAAAGTTCACTTTATAGAATACTGAATGATTATGGCAAATAAGTGTTGTGGATGTGATAAGGTATAGGATTGTGGAAGGCCTACCAAAAGAAAAATTTCTCCCAAAGCTTTTTGTGTAATAAATCCAAGTGGACTTTGTTTGTAGCTTTGGGTTATGAGCAAACTGGCTATATCTCTTTCAAAATTAAGTGATTCTGCCAAAGCAACCCTGAGGCTAAGACAGACCCCTCAAGAGAGTATGGCTTCGAACTCTGACTATAGCACTTCTACTACATCGATCAATCAAGAATTTTCTCGTGTACTGCACAATGATGGCGCTGCAGTTGCAAAGCTTTGGCAACTATTCAAATGCTTTCTGCATGATTTGAGGTGCCATTTCAATAGAGATATGGAAGTCGAACTTGATTACATGCACACACATTGGGCCTACCTTGGAGCAGTACTGGCTCCACAGTACTGGCAGTCACAGCAGTCCCAAACCTTCTGAATGGGTGTGATGTCTCCACAGAGCTCAGGTACTGAAAGTATAGTAAAACCATTTCATCGTGACATTACACTGACAAAGCAGAATTGCTTGCAAAGATGTCATATTGGAAGACCGTAGCACAGCAGGAAGATGCACCTCACTATAACAACCCATCAGTGCCTCGTATCCCCTGCACAATGTAGAAAATATATACTAGTACATTCTCGTACGTTCATGCTCTACATCATGTTCAAGCCATCTACCTGAAATCTCTCATGTTGACAAGATAAATGTCCTCTTTTTTGTATAAAATAATATGGCAGCTGTAAATATAACCAGCTGCTAATGCTTAGTGGATGCCCGTGCTGATGCTGTAGATCTATTATTTTACCACTGCAATGGCAACCATGCTTCCATGTATTAATGCCAAGAATTCAAACAAAATCCAGCAAGTTGAAGGTGAGCAACACAAGCTGGAGAAAGCAGGCAACTCCAGCAGCCAGTGACGCTCAAGCCTGTCACAAACCTAAAGCCCACGACGTCATGTGCAGTGTGCTGTCTCACAGAATTCAACACGCAAAGTGTGCGTCTGCCATTATTCTCCTAGTGAATTAAGCAGAACTATAAGTGGGCCAGAGGAGACAGTTTTATGAGTGCCAACTATTTCGAGTGTCAACTTATTTCCTCTGTGTTTTTCATCGATGCTTCCCCAAGTTCTTGTGTGACTAAAGCATGTTAACAAAATTGCACTTCCATGAACTTCCAAGGGCGTGCTTGTCAAAGGGACACTGAAGTGAAAAATGCCATTTCACTTATTGGAAAGTTACAATTTCGTAATCACATCATAGATGCTGATGGCGTCTGCTAGGTCATACGCAGTTAATAATCATTAAAAACGAAGCACACCATCTGCTGAGTGGAACAAATTTAACACACCGAGTTTCAGGAGACGTTGCTCAGCCAATGTCACTAAAATGCACAAAATACATTTTGAAAGTTGTGATGTATTGCGTAAAAATTTCAGCACGAAATTTAAGAATGAAACCTTAACCTTCATTTTCTTCTCTATTAATAAATATTTATGGCAAAGTTAACAACATTAGAGTTCAATTTATCAGTCTAGGCCGATTTATTGTTTCAGTTTATTGCCCCTTTAACACTGCTTACAGTACTGCAAGTGCAGGGTTTCCTTTCATTTTCCGATGACACATATGTTTATGCTGAATGCCATAGGTCTGGATGCCATAAGAGCACCATAAGTACAAGCAACTTTACCAAGTGATGATGACACAAACTGAATGCAGTAATCAAATGCAGTGCCGTTAAGTTACACACCTTCTCTTTGAATGTGAAGTCTGCGATGTTCCTGCTCCGTCAGCACCTGCAAAAAAAATGCTTTCCTTGTCAACCAATTTCGTTGCACAAACGATATTGCAGCTACAGAACTTCGTACTTACACCAGAGTCAAAAGAATGTCTAAGGTTGCAGGGGAAACTCTCACCACCTGTGCAGAGCAATGAGGAGTCAAGGGTAAGTATTTGAATGACATCTGTAATATACAGTAATTGCACGTACAGGCTACAACACTAAAGTAGCAAAGTGACCTACGTGAACAGGCTTAGCACATTCAAGTTCACCTGTTTTACTAGCAGTGATCAGGCTACTGCACCTTTACACGTCTTCAAGCAAAAAATGATACAGCTCACCATTTTCGTCAGCCTCACGCCTCACATAAATCTTTGCATCACAGAATTCCTGCAAACATCCAAAAATAAAATAATGTCAATTTTCCTTAGTGAAAATTCCAAGTACAGTTGAACCACACTAAACATTTTCTGGCTTTTCTCTTTGCCAGCTACACCTTTCCTAAAGCTACGCCTTCGAGAGATGCCACCACGTCATTGCTAACAATATTAGATAAGCAGCCATGACTTCCCTGTACACACAACTTACATTTCTTTATTTCAATACTGTCGACCCCAGTTCTGGAGTCATTACAGAGGGCATATTGCAGATGGTATTCATTCATACAGAGCATAGAGTATCATTCTAAGTAAGATATGGATTCAATTACACTATTGGTAAACAACAATAAAATACAAGGAACAATGAATTCTCCATACAGTGAAAAACAAGAAAATATTCACACCAAAATTTGTTATACACTGTTAGAAAATATGTATACATGTATTGCATCTGCAATATCATCATTGATTTGTGGGGTTTAACGTCCCAAAACCACTATTTGATTATGAGAGATGCCGTAGTGGAGGGCTCTGGAATTTTTGACCACCTGAGGTTCTTTAACGTGCACCCAAATCTGAGTACACGGGCCTACAACATTTCCGCCTCCATCGGAAGTGCAGCCGCCACAGCCGGGATTTTATCCCGCGACCTGCGGGTCAGCAGCCGAGTACCTTAGCCACTAGACCACCGTGGCAGGGCGCATCTGCAATATCGGCAAACCATCATTACCTATAATTGTGTCAGACAAACTATTTCGCATTTTATTTGTGCTAGGAAAAAAAAAAGAACAAAAAAATACTGAAACGAGGGGCATCAATTTCAAAGGCACCAAATTTTCCTGTATGCATATCATACTTAACTGAAGCCCTCTGATGATATTGGCATATTTGAGTGCATTAACTTTTAAGCTCCTTTGAAAACGTCGAGAGGTTCTACCACATGATGCATGAAATACGCAAATTTAAAGAAACCGTATACACACTCACCGTGTAAGTCTGGTTGTAACACGTGCGTCTCACAACTGATATTTGTGAATCTGAACTGGCACCTGCGATGACACAAAGTTTTTGTAATGCAAGTCAATGCACCTCTCACTGATTAAATGATTTGCAATATCATGCATGTTAGCTTGTTTGACAGCAGCAACAAATAGATTTGGTGTGCAAGGCATACTCCGCGCGCGTAAGCACAGGCTGACACATGGACAGTTTTCTACCAACACAACATGGAGCACCTGCTTCTTGTTCTACCCTCACAGTGGCACAGCTTTTGCCAGTTTTATGCATATCCATAAACCGGCACACTATAGCTAAAGTCCTTCGCACTTGGCCTTCATGTTCTTCTAAGGGAAAAATCGGATGTGTTCTTTTCAATGAGACATCAGAAAAAGTTGTTTTTGGTGTCCCGTGAGAAAAGCTAGGGACAACTAAGTCCAATTATATTTTCTGTCAATCGGCTGGCCATAATTATAGACTTTTCTGGTAACTATCAAGAATTATCCACAAAGAGAACAGAATCTTTTTGTAAACAAATACTTTCATTAAATAAGCTAAGCTACTGGTATTATCTCATAATAACAAAAAGGGTCTCTTGCAAGTTATGTGACAAACTTACCAAGACAGATACTTATCGCACACAAACAAAAACTACAGGAATGTGCCCAATGATAGCTCATTTACTGATTTCCTGCACTTCCTTTCTCAACAACAACAACAAAAAAACACAGATGGGAGAAAATGAGAGATATGACATATTTTCTAATCTTGCAATGACTTGCTAATTGCATTATTAAGCAAATTTCGAGCATTTATCTATAGGTTCTAGACTTGACAAGCCTTTTATTCTTGCCATTACAGCTGTTTCACATAATATGTGACCACATTTGAAATGACACCACTTCATCATAACACCTACTGCTCGCACTGCATACCAATGCAAGTTTTGCATTCACAATGTATTTTATCAATGCCATTACCACGAGCATGACGTGTAAAAATTGAAAATGAGATGTGCTGCTGTCTAATCAGGTACTAATCACATCGAATGATAAAGCCAGAAGCTTTCATTCACTCAAGGTTGACAGGCAATGAATATATTATACATGCATTGCCCTAGTGTTGAGCAAAGAAGCTATATGTCGTATTCATACAAGAGAAAACAATACTGTTGCAATATCCCTCGGCAATCAAACACCTGCACACACAAGTCAGACAATATTTGCTACTCTGAAATGTGTGCACTCAATTTTATATCCCCTTTGCAAAACAGCAACACTTTAGCAAGAAAATAGGTTTACTCAAAGATTTACAGAAATCTTTCTGAGGGCAAAAATGAGAAATTATTGCACTTTACCCACAAACTAAGGAGCCTAAGCGTGTGCGACAGTGCAAGCACTCAGGCACACGTAGCTGACAACTACAATCTAGTCCACTCATAACGATACTCTTTATGACAATATATTGGATATAATGACGAACAGTGATGGCAACGTCCGCTTTTGCATGCTTTCTATGATATAATAAGCTGTTCATTACGATGCTCCAGTGCCGCGATATTGTATACAGCGAATCTGGCCACAGCACACAGGAAAAATGGCTCATCGCACCCCCACGGTGAAAGGCGTGCTTTGTTTGACAACGTTGTGAGAAGAAAGTATGCGTGAAGAGGAAGCTGTGCCAGGAGAGGCCTGCAAAGCACCTGACGACAAAGGGGTGTCAAAGTTGTGGTTGCCGCTTAACTAAGATGCATTAGGTCTGGATGACTTCGACCGTGCATATGATGCTGTGGAAACGTTTAAGTGCCTAAGTGATGAGAAGATCATTGCGCATAGACGCGCTGCGGACAGCGCTGAGAGCGACTACTCCAACGAAGTTACTGACTAGCCTAGCAAGGTACCATCTACGAACGAGGCCCAATGGATGACACAGTCCCTCCAGGCACTTTGTTTTGGCGAAAAACCTCCCGCACAGCTGCGTGGAGCATAACTAGATGCCTTTGAGAAAGATGCGCTCCAGCTTCACATGAAGCAATCAAAGCTGACAGATTATGGCTTTTGTACAGATAGGTACATAGTTGCACTGCCTCACTAGCATGTACATAAAGTGCGTTGGTCTCCCTTTTGTCTTTTTTTTTTCTCTGCCCACTAACAACAATTATTGGTTATAACGATAAGACTTTATTGGCACTTGAATACCGTTATAAGTGAACTGCACTATACAATTGTGAGAAAATTCACTCTTAATTCCAAGAGCTTTTTTTTTTCTTTGTAACTTCCATACACTGTTGACATCTAGGCTTCTTGTGCTACTGTGTCATTGGTACTAGAGCATTGCAAGTGCTACCAATCCATGACGTCTGAAACACAGCAACGTACAGAGCTTAAAAAATTCAAGGTGTTTTCTTTTATTAAAGCTGAATGAGACTTGTTCCTTTTTGCACTGAAAGCCAAGACAGCGGTGGCATATTACACACCAGCATTGCTGTTTTTAACAAACGCTTGATGGGGAAAAAGTAGGTTAGCGATTTTCTTGCATTATGTCTCGAAAACATGTGCCGAGTTTTCAGAATATCCCGGTCGGTATAAAAAAAGTTTCAACGTAGACTCACTTCAATTGAAGTTATGTCCTTTTTTTTTTCGTATTAACAAGACGCCGATGATCGCACACCTTTGTGGAATTATGCTTTTATGCAGAGTACCGGTTGGGCTTCGCTTAGACACAAGAACAACGTTACCTTGCTGCAGCGGTATGTGGTCAACTAGCTTTCCAGGTTGAGGAGTCTGTGTGAATGAAATAGAAAGGGGGGGGGGGGGGGGCAAAGTGTCAATCAGAAGAAAATGGCAAGCACTGTAGCACGAGCACACTATCCATCAGGAAAAAAGCTCTTACCCTTTGACAGCATCCAACAAATAGCGTCACAAATCCACCTGAAACGTGATGGTTACATCACTTTATACAACTCAACCAAAACAAATGTCGCGATCGCGTTACGGCAAAAGTGGAATCACATTTGTTACCATCTCAAGCTCGTGAAGATGTGAACTGTGCGGGGCAAGTTTGGAAATAGCGCCTTCCAAGAAGCGCCAACGCACAACGACGCGCGAAATCGGCGCACGGTTTGAGGGGCGAACGCGGCGCTGCGTTCGGGCCGATCTAGGTAGGCCTACGGTAGCGATCGCCGATGGCAAAATGCGCCCGCAAGTTAGACAAAATTTACCTTTCGGGAGTCCCTCTGGAAACACGAGGTCGGCGACAAACGGCTGCGTCGCGAGGTCGATGAATATCTTGGCTGTCATATCTTGCGCGTAGATTTGCATTACATTTTACGACATCCAACTGTGATCTCGGCAGTGAACGCCACGAGCGCTGTCACAAGCGAGAAACTGACGGTTCCGAACAGACCCACTAGTGGCGCTAGTAGTCTCAACAAAACTTTATTGCAGCGCAAAACAAAACTTAATAAATTATAATTGCTTAACTTCACATATTACGGCGTTATTATTAATTTGTTACGCTTATTTTACGTTTACAATTGTATTGTTTGAGTTAAAAACAACAAAAAAAGAAACCGAAACCGAAACCTTATCAAACAATGTTTTGAGAGCGTTTCTTTGAGGAACTGTGTCAGAAAATATGAAAATTGGACACAGATCTGATCAGGCATGCTAGTAACAGGCGTTTTTCTGGTTGCATTTAAACGGTGATGTTTCAAAACACGCTCCCGCATGACCTATGACATGTTTAATCAGTTTCTTGCACGAACTTCTCGGTCCAGCGCCCTTACAGTGCGCTTTTCTCCAACAAAATTTAGCAGTTGTCGTACAGCCATTGCAGTGTACAAAAACGAAGAAAATGCTACGCTATTTGAATAAAATATATCAGGCACGAGGTGCTGATAAGGGCCAAATGAATTCAGCTATGAATTGTCGCACTGCATCATACAAAGGTATGTTTTCAAGAGAAAAAAATTTAACCAATATGCCTTGATGCAAATCCTGCAAAGAAAAAAAAACACTACTCTGAATCTGCTTCTTCAGTGTTTAGAGCAAGCTGGCATTTTTACATTGTCCTGAGCATTTCATTCATTGTCACTGGAACATTAATACATGACCTTCAAATCAGTATATCTTAAATATCTTAGGAGAAGGTGCAAAGATTCCTTGCAGTGCACTTACCTGGGCTCGATGGTTTTGCAAATCCTTGCAGGCCGCAGCTGGCCCTTCCGGTGAGACAAAGCATTGCAAGTATGTATGAAGACGGCCTTTATTTTATAGGCAACAGTGCCCGATTCACCCAGGTGGCTTATGGATCACAGCCGCAAGAAGCGTTCTCCATTGAAATGCGACTGCCATGGCGGAAATCGAACACGCGACCTTCGATTCAGCAGCCGAGCACCCTAGCCACTGTTCCACAGAGGTGGACCTGTTGTACTTCTTGTATCATTGCATGAAGCACATCTCGATGAATTAGCATGTACTGTTGTAAGTAACCTTTTCAGCATACAGGCAAAGCCTGTCTTTATTCAACATAACTTCAAGCACTAGGTAGCTATGCAGGACGCGTGCAATAAAATATAAAGCAACAAAGGGAGCACACGTGTCCACTTTTGTGATTCCACTGCTCCTTGAAAATTGTTTTAAGGAGGATGATACAATACTGTCAATGGAAGAGCATCAGCATCATCATTTTCAGCAAAATTAAAGCTTCAATGTCAAGTTTTTGAGGCTGAGGCTTCTCTGATGGCAACACCTTGCATAGAAACGCAATGTACAGTAGACAAATGTTCAGACTTATCGTCAAGCTGATCTAGTCGTCGAACAGCTGTAGAGGATGTGCCACGCTGCAGATTCTGCCTAATAACAGCTGTCCGCCCAGCTCTACTTTTGATTAACCTACGTAAGCCTTACAATCAGTCAGCAGGGCATATCTCAGGTGTGGACTAACGTATACACAATGCATTCTCCTTTGCCAGGCATATTTTCAATATCCTCACTGCCAGTGCAACATCCTTTTAATCAGTAAAATAGCATATCGCAGATACAGTTGCTATAAGATGAAAGAGAAAATAGAGACACGCAGTACACAACACAGTTTGGGAGAGCATTTTTTTATTTCAACAAGGTGACAATGTGTTTTCAGTTGTTTCTGCATCAGGTATCTGTGAGTGGTAATGGATCAGCACAGCATCACCTGCAACATTTATTAAGCACTGTCCCTGCAAGAAAAAAAAGGACATCTGTGTCAACACACTACAACTATACTAAGAGACAACTTTCTGTTGCAATGCAGTCAAGGCTACAGAGCCGCACCATACTATTTAAATAGTTTTGTTTGCAGGGCATCTGGAAGTAGTTCAGCAAAAAATAATATGCTACATATAACCTAAGCATTTGAAAGATGTAGAGTTCTCACTTTTGGCTTAAAACTGATAATGCCACAAAACTATTCACCATATAACGTAAAACTCAGCATTTCTTAGATATAGGGGTCTTTTTGTTTGCAATGTTCTTTGGTGGCGTCACGTAGATTCTCTTCAGAAAAATAAAACATGGCCTCCTCCTCGACAGCGTCTTTTTCCTCCGGTAGCTCGCGCTTTAATTGTCGCATAGGATTTTCAAGACGCTTGGAAACCAAAAGCTGTAATAAGTTTATAACAAACGAAGCAAACAGTCAGGAATGTGTATGCCCAGATGAGACCAACGCAACTGAAACGCTTTGTGATTTCCGCATTGTTCACTTAGCCAGCTTACCGGCATAAGCGAATGCACTGCTGCACAGTTTTAGGTGAAGGTTATGAGTGATACTCTGATTAGAAGCAAATGAAGTGTAGAGAAAGCTCTGCAAATATGCCTGCATGCTCAGTGATTATGGTTCAACATACTCAATCGCAGAGCACATGCGAAAAAATGAACTGTAGCAAATGCATATCTGTCATGTCGAAACTGAAACCGAAAATAATTTATTGGGAACTACTTTGGCACAGTAACACAGACCAGTTAACTGCCACAAAAAGCTGTCCACGAGCGTAAGAAAAAGATAGCAATAGACAACAAAAATTGAAAGCATTCAATTATATAGATATTTCATTTCTAATTTATAAATGTGGCAGGTTGGGCTAGCTGGTAGGTCATGACAATTGTTATAGCACGAATTCAGAATGATGAAAAAAAGACAAGAGAACAAGCGCTAACTTCCAACTGAGCAGAGCGCGAAAACATATAAAGAAGACAAAAACCATGTGACGAAAGATGAGCAATGCAAAGATGATCAAAGCAAAAACTAAAAAAACCAAGAAAGAAATTTAAGACAACTATACTAAATATTTAAAAAACCATCACTAGTTGCATGCGCCGATACTTTCAAGAACTTTGATTCCTTCTCAGATAGAGACAAGGAAGGCTTGCTAATGCACAAGTCCTGTTCGGATGCCATCTGGGCAGCCTCAACGATGATTCAGGTGCGATCATCTCTGTGCTTATACAGCCTCTCTATGCTTATACTCAGTCTGAACAGTCTTCTTTTGTCCTTTTCTCGTCGTTCTGAGTTTGCACTATAACAATCTTCATTTCTAAAACTTTTTCAAAAGGGCAACTCACCTGATTCTTGTGTGGATTGTGCAGCAAGACACACTGAGTCATCTGAAAAGCCACGACTGCATTGCCTCCTAATGATGCCACATGAGCTCGCACTATTGCCAAGATTTCAGTCATGAAGCCCTGTACGAATCCATTTAGGCCACCTTCCTGTAAGCAAGAAAAGTAGGTGGGCATTTGCACTGTGAGTGGCCATTCAGAGCCGTAACACTATGGGCCTCACATTACAATCACACCAGCTACTGTCAACGCATTCAGTGAATCATGTTAACAAGAACTCACACATAAGTCAGTGCAATGCCGAGATTCATCCACACTTAGGGTGAACACTGTTCAGTGTGGCCATGTTCCACAAAGCACCAATGCAGCCGGCGTGGCTGCACATTGAACCGAAGCAGTGAAGGTGCTTGCAGGTACTTGGAGTTGTCTGCTACTATGTTAAAACATGACACTATTGCTCTGTTGTGAAATACATGGCACTGAATGCCTGCGTCACTTCGACGTGCATTGATTTGATGCACAGCTGCAACAGCGCCAGTGGAAGCACTGGCGCTCTGCGGAGCGCTGCCACCCTGAATCGTGTTCGTTTTAAGAGTGTACAAGCCTCTACAGTACTCACGGATTAAAATACGAAAACTCAGGGCTAAGTAATGCCCATACTTTCATTTTCTGCATTTATAGTTTGAGTCACATTGGCATAATTTTTATTCAAACACTTAAAACACAGCCGACATTACCCTTGGCAGCAAGATTTACAGTGACGCGACGTGGTTATCATAAGCTATTCGCTCATAGCAGTCATTGCACTATGTACTAAAGAAATGATATGTTTCAATTCACGAGTACTGCACATCTTTCATGCAATCTTACTTCAAGCAGACTGAAGAAATCGAGTCTCGCAGTATGCTTTGTGCCAAATCGTTCCAAGCAAGAACAAAAATCATTCATTCATAATTTACTACACTGTTTAAAAGAGAACAGAGGGCACTGTTCTCAATGTATCCCCCTAGTGAGCTTGTCCACTTCAGTGATGCGCATTCAGTTACTCAAAAAAGTGGCGAGCTGCGACGTCATGGTGCTCTTGACTACATCGACACAAACTGAACCCACCAGCACATTCTCAGCATAAAGAGAAAGTGGATGAAATGTACAGTAACAGGACATTTAATCAAGCTTCACAAGTTTGAACTTGCATATGAGGTTCAGGTGTTCAAAACGATGTAAGTAGTGCATACCAACCCTTCTGGTACAATAGGCGGGTGGCTGCATTACACCAAATTAAAGGGCTAACGTGATTATGGTTCACACACAACCTCCGAGATGTGCATCCAAAAGCGGATCTCTGAAGACAGCACTTGTCGCAGTGAAACACATTCCTTCCCTCTTAGTCCTGTCGGGAGTTGTGGAAGTTTCGCGATGTTAAAATGAAGCTGCAAAAGAAAAACCGTAAATGTGGGGCATGCTCTTCGCTGAGCTCCAGCCAATCGGTGGAAGCCGAAGTGGACATTCCACAATGTGGTTACATCGAGAATCGTGCCCCACACTTCAAAATTTCATTTTCTGATTTATAAAAGTTCACATTAAACACTTCCAATTCAATGTGTGTCCAAGAAGTATCTTTAAGAGAGTAAAGAGTTGGGAATGATGCATTGTTGGAAAACCAGCACAAACAAAATGGAGACACAAGACGAGGCAGAAAGAGGACGAGCATTGCCCTGTGCATTTCTAGTATTATGTACGACTCCTGTTCATGTTAATTTTCCAAGTTTGTAA